AACGGATCGCAGCCCTCAGTGTCGCGCCCGTACCGGACCGGGACCAGCTACGGGATCACAACCCTCGGTGTTGCTCCCGCGCCTCGCTCAGCCAGTGAGCGGGAACCGGTCTGTATGTGGGATCCGAACCCTCGGCGGGAGTGCCGCTGCACTTCCCAAGCGGCGCACTGTAGCAGTGCGCCACTGGGCCGGCCCAGTGCCGCATTTCCAAATGGCAACATTCATATGGAGCTGAGCAGCTGCTCCCCCACTCCCTCTATGCAGTATTTCCTCTCCCATTAGCCACAGTTCCACCCAGCCCGCAACACTTATTTATATCATCTGCCTGGTCTTTGTAGGCATTTTCATTGGTGACCTCTGCACCAAACTATGCTACAAACAGTTCAAGAGGGTGAGGTTGCTGGTGGAAGTAAAAGGGCTCTAAGAGCAATTCTAAGCATTGGCTATCTGGGGGGGGCACTTCCTAGAATTTAGAAGAGAAGCACTTTCTAAGACTGCAACTGGAGAACACAGTAGAAGATCTATGGAGAAGATTCCAGGATGCACTCAGGAATTACACTGAGGCCACAGAGGATCGAAAGGTTTCCTTTGAGACCCTGAAGGTGAAGGATGAGAAGAGCTCCAAAGAGATTGGAACACAGATTAAAAAAATACAGAAACTACAGGTTAGTGTAGCCAACTGGAAATGCTTACTGCTTTAACTGCTCCATTATTCCCCGTTGATCTCCCAATTTCACTGGGCCTCATCCCTGATCACTGACTGGGAAAAGATGATACACTCTTAGTTCAGTCCCGGGGCAGCCCTTTGACCGGTCTCCCTGAAGACCTTCAGCCGGTTAAGTGTTTCCTCTAATCTACTCTGTTCCTTTAGGATGCCATAGCTATTTCAAAGGGCAAGATCATGGTACACAGCCGTGAAAGTGAGGAGCAGAACCAGTATATCCGTAACGACAAGGAGTTGGTCCTTGTACAACTGCGAAAACTAAAGGCCCAAAGGACTCAGGCCCGGGCGGTATCCCAGGAGAACTTAGTCAAACTCACCCTGGAAAGTAATGCTACTCTCAAGGCCCTGAGAAAGACTGTTGACAAGGTAACAAAGGGGGAGGGAATAAAGCCAAATAACCTGGCGCCTTGCAAGGTGAAAGAGATTTAGAAGAGCTAGAGGAGGACTTCTGCTTCCTGCCTGGGTGGACACTTGGAATTTCCTCCCCATTGAACTTTTTTTTTTTTTTGAGTCATTTTCTCTCTTGCACTTTAAATGAAACAAATTAATAATGAATTAATTTTATAATAAGAATATAAAATACTTGGAATAGTGCTTGGCACATAGTAAGCACTCTGTGTAAAATGTATTTATTACTATTGTCTCCCATTTGGATAAGTAGCTTCCCTGGGGTCAGGCAGGGGAACCAATTCCTGTATCTTCCATCTCCACCCCCTTTTCTAACAGAAAGTCTCCTCCTGCTTCCAATAGGGTGAAAAGATCCTTAAACTTGCTGAGATATGTAGGAAATTTGAAACAGAGGAAGAAAAAGTGCTCCCTTTTTATTCATCAATATTGACTCCTAAGGAGCAGGAGGAGATTGAGAATAACGTAGAGGAGCTTACTGAGGAGCTCACAAAGGTAAAGGCTGGGGGATAATGGGGCATTGGGCAGTTTTCCTAATGGGTCCCATTGCACATCTTCGCCCTTTAACTCTACTCCTAGGTGATGATGCACTACAAAGGGATGGAGAATTTCTGGAAAAGGTACAATAAAGTGAAACTGGAGCAACTGAGTCTCCAACACAGGCGAACCCAACTGTTAGAAATTAATGGGAAGCTGCGGGAGATGCTCAAGCAGTACTTGGATGGCATCTCAGTGAGTGATGAAGTGCTGAGCCAGCTCAACCCACTCTTCATAGTTAACCATCGAAGCAACTTACCCCAGCCTTTGCCCACACTTACAGCCCAGCCAGGTGACAAACAACCTCCAACCACTTACAACATCATTGAAGCAGCCCACATGATCTCCCATACCCTGTGATCTAAGGAGAAAATGTCTTTTCAACCCCCAGAGTTTTGTTTTGTTTTGTTTTGTTTTTTGAGAAACATAGGACTTTGCTATTAAATATTTCCATGGAGTTTATGAGTTCCTTATTATCTTTGCTATATTGGACAGAGCAGTCTACTTTCTGTTTGTTTTGTTTTGGGTTTTTGTTTTGTTTTGGCAGCTGCTTGGTATGGGGAGAGCAGTATACTTTGAGGATACTAGAAATACTAGGGTCCCAGGGAGTGGAGAGAACAACTAGGCAACTACCAGGAGGCTGGCTACTCTATGAAGCACTGCTGCTTGGAGTCAGGGCACCATGAGAGCCAAAACCCATACCTTAAGGACCTAGAGATCCTATGGGAAGATTCAAGACCAGGTCCTTGGGGTAAGTTAGGACAGCAAGAGAAGGATAGGGGAAGGGGTGATCCAAGGCCTCCAACCACCCCCTTTTCAGGCAAGATCCAACTCAGAGTGCCTTTTTCCTCAGTCCTTTACCTCATTTCCACTTACAAAAGCAGCCTCAAAGTATCAGGAGAAGAATGCAAAGAAGTTTTTTTAAAAATTATTATTTATTTCTTTTTGCTCTTATTTCGTTTCTCTTCCTTGAGCTTCTTTTTGGAGACCTTGGGTCTACTGGCCTTTTTGTATAGGTGATACCCAATGAGGCCCAGGAGGGCTGGCACCATGGCCATGCCTACCAGAGGCAAAATGCCCTTCACCAGCTTTTGCCAGTAGTTGGCTCGGATCAGTGCAATCAGCTCCACGTCATACTGCACCACTGCATCCGCTGGAGAGGCAGAGGAGAGGGGAGGGTTAGAATCTCTGTGCATTTTATCCAGGACTCAGAATCTGAATGAAAACAGGGAGGGTGGGCCACAGCAAAGCCAACAACTATGAAGCTTGCAAGATTTAAATGTGGGGTTGAGTTCCCTTAGACAACGACAGAGGAGGGTTCTGAGCAGAGTCTAGTGATAGTGATGTTGACCCCAACTACATGTGTAGCTTGGGTTCAGTGACAGGTCTTTGACAGCACAGGAAAAGTTTCTGTGAATATGAAGCATACAGGCTCTTCATTTATAAGTGGGAGAACCCTCTATATTAACTGTACTCCATTTCCAAACAGTCATATGGATAGAATCTTTTGAGGACTGAAAATTAACTGGATTTAAATATTTTTTTAATTCCACCAACCAGTGAGCACACTCAGTGTAATTATTAGAAAAGAGAAGTTTTAACGTAAGAGCTGGAGGGAAAGAAGGATGTGGCTTAAGGAGGAGGTAGGTCAAACAGGAGTGAGTAGGGGGAGAGGTGCAAACAGAAGTAGACGAGCAGCACCAGGAATGGGGAAGTAATAGAACTTTGTGTAAAAGAGTTTTATAGTCCGCCTACCCTCTACCCCTCTAAGCTGTGAACTACAGTAAGAATTATGATCCCAGTACTCTGGAGTACAACACATTTTAGCTAATAGAGCATTCCTTATAGCCAAAAGCAAAATATATGTATCTTGGGAAATCTGTCCAGTCTCAGCCCTTCAAGAATAGATATCAGCAGTGACCTATGAGGACTTTTTTTTTTTAAAGATGACCGGTAAAGGGATCCTAACCATTGGCTTGGTGTTATCAGCACCACACTCTCCCAAGTGAGCCATGGGCCGGCCCCGACTACGAAGACTTTTAAAGTTATAGGATAGACTTGGCTTTTAAAAGTTGCTCTTTGTTTTGTTTTGAGTTACTTGACTATAATTATTTTTACTATCTCTTCCCTGGTGGAAGCTGAAAGAAGGGGTGGGGATGTGGTGAGAAGCCATGCCAGCTACACAAATGACACAGTGTAGAGTCATAGAAAAAAGGCAGAAAAGAAGTCCAGACCTCTGGGAGGGGTGGCACAGGCAGCAGACCCATGTGGCTCAAGCAGCTATCTCTTCTCTAAAAAGTCACTGGCTGCCAGAGGTCAAGCCATGTGGCCTTAACAGTTGATGTGTATGTCTCTAATCCCCATTAGTGATGTGAGGAGGAAAAAAGTGGCCCTGCAGAAGGAGGCCCTGCCACTCCTGTCCCTTTCAGCAAACTTAGTCTGGACCTTCTCAAGGTCCTTGTAGCTCTTAGGAATTGGGTATTTTGATGGCCCAAGAGAGGGGCCTAGTCAGATTACCTGGGATAGATGGTGGAAATCCTCGTTTTCCATAGGCCAAGTGAGAAGGAATGATTGCTCTTCGCTTCTCTCTGAGGGAAGGAATGTGAGTCACAGCCAGAGGTGGGAAGGTGGGCCAGAAGTTCATCTGAAGCTCCACTAGCAAAATCGCCTGGATAGTCACACCCAAAACATGAACTTTCCCACCTGATTACCAAATAGGTTGACCAGCAAAGGTGTCCATCTCACCACATGCCTCAACTCCTCCAACAAAACCAACAGCCAGAGAGGAATGGAGGCTTTGGATGCCCTCAGAGGTCCCACTGACCTGGTCCAGCGCAAAATTCTGTGGATCCTTCATCCCACATTTCCTGCCTCCTCAAGGAGCAGGGATCGCAGAGAAACTCTACCTGTGCAAAGGGGATACCCAGGCCATCCCCTGCCCAGATACTCACCCCACACACATGTCTAGAAGGCTCTGCTCCAGACCTTGAGGAAGAAGACACATCTGAACTGGAAGCCCCCCACATTCCCCAAATCCCCTTGACCCCCAATTGAGCTTTTCCCCACTTCTCAAATCCCTGGCTTCCAGTGGGATTTGGGGCAATAGTATTATTACAAGTGGGGTTTGAAACTCAGGAGGTAGCAGGTAGAGCCCTAAGGGCTTATTCCAGGGGACTTTTCCAGGGCAGTTTAGTGGTTCAAGAGGCTGAGAAAGGGATTAGGTTGGGAAGAGGTGGAAGGGGAGGCACAGGTCACATACCTGGGATCACCTGTTTTTGGCCAAGTTCTATAACCAGAGGGTCTCTGCTCAGAGAGGTGTCAATAATGCGTCCGTCTATCAAGCTGCCCTAGGGGGAGAAAGCGTCAAGAGCGTACACCGGGTACTTCTCCCAGCAGGCGGCAACACACACCTGGGCCGCTGGGCGGCGACGGTCTCCTTAACAGCTGCTGCCTAATGTTCCCCTCAGGGCAAAAAGCAACAGGAAGCCCCAAAGGGCTGGCACTTCTCGGAGATCTCTCCACCCTTCACTTGTCAGTACCTTCCTAGCGGAAAAGCAGGGAGGGGAAATAGGCAGGGAAGAGCGCCCCTCCCCCCGCCACGTGCTCCACGACCCCAGAGCCCCTAGTTTCTCCTCCCGAGCCGCTTGCCACGTGTCCAAGCCAAAGCTGACGTGTTTCAGCCGGGCGCCACCCCCCCAGGCCCCGCCCCGGTCCCCTAGACCCCTCACCGTGTAGTGTATGTGAAGTATGTCTCCAAAAGCAGCGGGCTCCGCACACGGCTCTGGGGGCTCCACCTACAATCGGACTAAAGGGGTCACGGGATACTCTGCCAGAGATCCGGTTCTCGCCCCTAGACTCAACACCCCCCAACTCAGGTCCCGCGCTTTCTTTCCTCCCCGCCCCCCGCTTCGTTTAGACTCCTGTATTCCCGCACAGGGTTCGGCGCGGGCCGGGGGCCAGGACATCTCCTCCTCACCAGGGTCTCCACTTGGAGGGTCCGGACTGGACTTTCGGTTTCCAACCCAGCCTCAGCCCGGCACACCGCCCCACTGAGTAGCAGCAGCAGCAGATGAAGCAGGAATAGTAGGGGGCGCAGGGTCATGACTGGACGCGGGGCAGAGCACCAGGGCACCAAGGCACCAGGACAGGCTACTGGGGTGGCCGCGGCGAGGACAGCGTTCCCTCGGCGCCCAGGCCAGACTGGACGGGATGGGGCGGGTCGTGATGCGCGAGCTCCTCCTCCTGCAGCCCTTCCTCCACCGTGTCCCCACCTCCTGAAGGGAGGAGGCTGCGGGGAACCCTAACTACTCTCTAAGATCGGGAGGTCGCAGATTCTGACCTGTCCGTTAGCCGTTCTGTCCCATAACGAGGGGCGGCCACATAATAGTACCCATTTACGCCTGTCTGCCAGACGCTAGCCTCTAATCCTCAAAAACCACCTGCAAGGTAGGCATAATTGTCTCTTTTACAGATAAGGAACAGGCTGCTCAGTAACTTACCCAACATCAAGCTAGGTAGTGACAGAGAGAGGATTCAAACCCTGAACTGCCTGAGTCCAGCGTGTTTGCTCTCTGCTCTTTTAAAATATGTGCCTCCTCGTACCTATCCTGGCAGTGTCTGGCTTGCTCACTCCACCCCAGTGGTTGTCAAAGGCAGCATCCCGCTCCCACCTCCACCCCTTCAGCCTGAATTTCTGTAGATTATATGTCCCAAAGAAGGCAGAGAGCTGTACCGCCCCCTGTCCTTTGGAAAGCTAATTGAAAAGAGCAAGGGGCTATTTTCCTGAGTCTTTTCCTCTGACACGACCATTTCCTTTCTCCTTTCATCAATAACATACCACAGTACTTCAAAAAGTTCATGGAAAAATGGAATTAAAAGATAATATGAACCTTTCTATGAACTCTTTGAAGACTCCTGGTATGATCCTTTTATGTTTGTCCAAGGACTTCAGTTTTTAAAAGGGTTTTTTAATTAAACTAAAATAGTATCTTTCTGCATGACTTAAATCCTCATTGAACCATTCGGGCCTGGATTCTTCTCCCTCAAAAATCATTAGCGACCTCACAGTCACCAAATTCTTGGGTCATTTCTTGGTCCCTTGTGCTCTTTGGCATCTCTCTGGTATCTGGTGTCACTGAGCTCTGACTGCCCTCCCAAGCTCTAGACACAACTGCCTACTGGGTGTCTCCACCTGGATGTTTGGCCAGCACCTCAAACTTAACACACCCAATATATACTCACTCCTTCCATCCCATCTGCAACCTAGACTTTCCTCCCAATCCCCCATTTCTGTTACTGGCTCTGCTATCATCATTCTCTTTGCTACTTCTCTCATTTCCCATATTCAACCAGTCTCCTTTGGATTCATCCTCCACAGCGTCTCCTTTCCATTCCCATGGCTACCACCCTAATAAAGCCCCCATTATTTCTCTTTTGAATTATTTTTTTTTTTAAATTAAAGA